CGTGGCATGTGGCTCCTTCGGCGTTGGACCCTGTCCGAGGTGTGCGGGATGCCGTGGAGCCAGAAGTTGGGCCAGGCGTGCCAGAGCCGGCAGACTGGGTCCATCCCTTGGATGGTCCCCGAGAGCCTCATAATCTGGTGTCTAAGATCGGACCAAACGTGTCATTGATTAGATCTTGTCCGCTGACTCAGCGGCGAGTTCGTCAAAAGTGAAATGTCCATTGGGGTCCTTGTGGAAAGTCGGGGCCGCGCTGCCAGCGTTTGAAGGGGGGCCAAGGGATTGATTGTTAGCTTGGACCGGTGTGGATGGTGTCAACCACCGACATGGTCGGCGCGGCGTGTGTTGAAGCGCCGGGCACGGGCGTTGGTTCTGGAGATGACGGTGGAGTCGCCTGAAGTTTTGCGTCAAGGTTTTGTGTTTCGGAACCAATCAAACACGGAGAGATATTTAAGGTTTATCCGCTTTTCATCTTCGCCGCTTAGTCATATAGGGCGAGTTGCCGCTGAGTCAGCGGGGATTTCGATACATCAACCAAAGGGGGGAACGACAGTCCCGGTGTCAGCCAATTCCAGGTTCCTCAATCACTTTTTGGCGTGAGAGACACACACGTTGCCATATCGGCTATCTTCCCGACGCGGCTGATTTCCTTTTTTTTTTTTTTTTTTTTCATTTGCTCTATTCCCTCCTTGGAAAAAGCTGCGTGCCGCGTTGAGCGGCGGCCTTTCGTCGAATCAGAGGCCAATATGAGGAAGAGAGCGTGTGATTCCTGTCACAGGCGAAAGGTATGCTTTCCGGCCCGTTTTCAGGTTGAGTTATGTTGGGGTTTCCAGTCTCACAAACACAATGCTGATCTTTTTTGTTTTCTTCCAACTTTGATAGATTCAGTGTGATGGAGCAGTCCCACAATGCAACTGGTGCAAACACCACGGAATGGCGTGCACTTTCAACCGGGCCACCAAGGTGAAGAAGCGTGTGGCCACAGCGAGGTGAGAGAACCTCCGCCCCTCCGGTCCCGTCCCCGTGGATCCCTGAAAGGTATCCACCCGTTCGGGAGAGTTGAGTAATTTGTGCCATGGAAAGTAGCCAAGACTAACAAAAAGATTTACGACCCGTGCAGGGCGGGATCAGAAAAAGACCTAGTCGAACGCCTCAACCGTATCGAAAAGGCCTTGGAAGCGGCTCGGCGTACCCAAGATGCAGGGGGGGATGGGGGGACCCGGGATGATTCCACCGCTTCCCCATCGTCATCATCGGCGCCCATGTCAACTGTTGGTCCGGATCCGCTGGCCGCCGACGGCAATCCGGACACAACCCAAGACCGACCTTATGACTCATCAGCCCGGGCTGCTTCCGGCGCAACCGTGGGTAAGCTACACTTTGCCGGTTACTATCTGGGCGATGTCAGCTCCTACAATGGTATTCCTTTCTTCTCCGCCGACGGCCAAGAGTGGATCCGCTCTCGCGCTGGAGAAGATGCCTCCTTTCACACCTTGTTTGGTATGGGTCCGTTGTGGCAGACACAACATCCAGTCCCAATCTTTATAGACTTCCCAGAAGGGAATGCTACTGGAGAGCTTCCTGATAGGACAGTTGTTGAAGAGTATCTCGCCCTCTTCCGAGCATCCCAGTTCGGCTTATCGTTTCCAGTAATCGACTTTGTCCTCTTCCAAGAGACAATCGAGCTGGCTTATCAGCAATCCAATGGCAAACCATCTCTCGAGGCCGTGACGGCAAAGGCATGTGTCTTTGCCTTCTTCGCCGTCGTTTCCCTCTTCCAGGGAGAATGGAACTCAACACCCGAGATTGACGGCGAGGCCTGCGCGGGTGCCGCCCAGAGACTGGTGGCAGTCATCCTGCAGGGCACCAACATCACTGCCCTGGAGACAGTTTTCATGCTGGTAAGCACTATCTTCCACAGTGTCTGCAACTCTAAACCTTACTGACGCTTCTTATCAATAGGGCATGTATCACCTTTTTTGCGGCCACCTGCAACAAGGTGCCATGTTCCAGTCCGCCACATGTCGAGTCTTGTTCATGCTTGGTGGACACCTCGAGCCCGGATCGAGCCGTCCCACTCCATGTCAGACGCCTCAGGCTGAAGACGACCACACCTCGCGTGTGAGGAATCAACTCCGTAGACTCTTCTGGTTATCCTACAAGCTCGACAAAGACATCTCCCTTCGAACGGGACAGCCTCCCAGTATCCATGATGAGCATTGCGACTTGACTTTGCCAAAGATGGATTGGTGGATCCGGAGTATAGATGACCTCACGGGTGGCTCGCCGTCTTTCCTCGACGAGGCAACTATCACGTCGGCCCTGGCACCCGACTCCCTGCAGTTGACCATCATCAAGTCTCAGATTTCCACAAAGTTGTACTCTCAATCAGCCCTCAGAAAGGGTGATGCGGAATTGCTCAGGGATATCCGCGAACTCGATGATGAGCTCGAACGATGGCGGTCGTCGGTTCCACCATCCTACCGGCCGACCTTGACGTTCCCTCGGGGCACGGCGGTCGTTAGAAAGGGACGGCTGAGTATGGAGGAGATCATCCTTCACTTTGAATATCATTACTTGATGGCAATGATACATCGAGCAAGTGGTCGATGCCGCTGTTGGGCAAATCGCGAAGGCAGTGGGTTGGAAGGCGTGAGCTCGAGCCATGCCCTCTCTGTGCAGGCCAGCCGATCTACGCTCTACTTCCTCCGCGCAGCGATCCACGGCGTGGAGCAGGTGGCATTCTGGTGGGTTGCTTACCTTGAGCTTTGGACAATTTGAGTCAAGTTGCTAACGTCTGATTTCCAGGATGGTGGTGTTTTACCCCATGTCAGCAATCCTCACAATCTTTTGCAGTCTCCTTCTGCAGCCCCTGAACCCCCAATCCGAGGAAGATATCGAGCTCCTCAATTCAGTCCCGGAACTCATCGAGAGCATGCGTAACCGTCATCTAACACCGAACGAAGTCGCCCACGTCAAGATTGTGGACAATTTTGTGGCGGAGCTCACCCGGTTGGGCAAGTGCGCTATTGCCAAGGCGCGGCGGGAACAAGAATTGGAGGAGCTGGCTTGAATGAGGGAAGAGAATAACACGAATTGTTTGTGACCGAAACCTGGGATACAGCGGGCGCTTTGGTGTTGGGGGCAATTGATCGAGCTGGCAAGGCTTTTACTGGCTTGTGGGATCGGCCTTAGATGGGGAACCATAGAGACATGAAATGTAATATCAGAATCATGTATCACCATCGATTGAAAAATGTCTCGGCCTTTGATTGTAGGCTCCCGTGTTATGCGGCTTATGACACATTTACATAATCCACTCTGTCCTACGAGATGTAACGTGTCTGGCTTGTGGATATAGATCAAGCTGAAGGTTGCCCAAACTTAATACGTCTATTACGCACATCTGCTCACGAGATTCCACATCCAATCCCTCAAGGGGCACTTCATTATCTGTCTGGTTTGTAAAGATAGAACTGCATATTCAATTCAAATCTCGCGCACTTGAAAGACGAGAAATTGGACATCTGAAATCACGTAGATAGCCAGGGTAGCTTGGTGTGATTATGATCCTATTGCGGCTGTCGGAACATGAATATCACAACGGATATCCCATCGAGTGCGAATTGGAGAAGTACATTCGCACATACATTCATGGAGAGTAATGACAAATTAGAAGTTATGGTAGATGTGTCAACCTTATTTCTATGAATGAAAAGTTATTCTAGGAGTTGATTTGGAGAAACACCGCAAAGGCGTATACGGTAATAGGGACATGAGTCTTCTTTAACAAATGCCCAGAAGTAGTTCATGACAGAAAAAAGTTACTGAAACTTGAAACAGACGCACTTCTCCATTTCAATTGATCAACCAACACGTGTTTGGAAGGCAAGAACTCACAACTTGTAAGACATTGCTAGTATTGCAACTTTGACAACATCGCCAGTATATCCGGCCTCTTGACTGATATCAGATAGAGATGACACTTCAGTTCGATGTATGTGCATCTGTGGCTCAGCATATGTGACAGCAGGTTTAGCCGAGACTTGGGTTGCTCCGGATTAGATCCATTCTCACCAGAAGGGCCAATCAGGCGAGATATATGCCGCTTTAGGCTACGTACTGTGTCAAGCCATTTTCCGCCGTCATCAGCCACGTTGAGATTCAGATCACCAACTAGAATCACATCACACCACGTTAGGGGTAACACTGTCCAACACCTCTCATTCTTAGGCTCGATGAGCTTAGAACCATTTGAGCTCTTTGCACCACTGGTCAGGAGCTTTCTGAATCTTTCGCTTCGAAGCGATGTCGACATTCATAGCATACCTCCCTCTTTCCTGAACCATCCGCGTTGCAGAGCGAGGGCTTGCCCCGTTACCACATTGGCCCTCCACCCCTCCACGACGCGCTTGGCTCCGGTGGCAAACCTAAGATCATCAAAACGTCTCGAGGCATGTAACTCAACGGTCGATCGGATGATGGGAGTGACGAAAAAGCCACCTGCCGCATCGTGACTGGCGAAAGGGCCAGGATGGTGTGTTTTCGACCCTTGCATGTCAGATGTCGCGAAGCGGGCGGGCGGGGGGGCTCCTCACAACCAACCGCTCTCATCTTCCCCCACAAACGCTCGTCAAACCCCATAAATTTCACTCGTTCAAGTTGGACCGATCACCAGGATGATGGAAGAATGACCGGTTAATTTGCTGGCTGCACAGTCTAGTCTTTTAGTTTGCAACGTTTTCTGGGGTCACTCCAGGGGCTCGGTCGTAGTCTTGATGGTAGGGTGCGGGAGCCCGGTGTTGTTCGGCATTTTGCCGTGGGCTCTGGGCGTGCGGCACGTCTCCAAATCTGTCGAGAGTCTCCTGTTAGCTCCCTCGCATCTTTTCCCCTCATGGAAGCTGGGGTAAATTGGGGAACCATGTCGGCCAGGGGTGTGGCTCGCTGAAATACCATCGCCTCTGCTGCTCTGTGATGGTCTATTATCACTTGTTTTTCCTGCTGCAAGTTTCTGCTGCGACCCATTACCGGCATTTGATGCAACTTTGATGTGACGGGAAGGTTATTAAGCCTCCGTCTTGCTATTCTCAAAGTCATCTTTTGAATCACTCCGCAGAGCTCTGGTTCTACTAGCATAATGCTCGTCACCCAGCCTATTCGTCCCCGGCCGATCAAAACTCGGTCCAGAGCAGGTTCGTATGATGATTCTACCACGAAAGCTTTGGATTCGAGATTTCTGACAAGGGCTTCGTGATTGCAATAGGGTGCAAATACTGGTGAGTCTATATCCGAGCTTTCATGTTATTGCACGTTGAGTAATCACTTTGCTAAGAACACCTCGTAGTCGTGACAAGGTTGGTCATCTTGACCCGTCTAGGATTTGAATCTTTGACCAATACCTCGCTAGAGAAAGAAGTGCTCGGAAGAACGCCCACAATGTCTTCGTTGTGTGCAGGCTGGCATAGTCTGTACCTATGAACCTATAAAGAAGAGGAAGAGAAGAACCTCGGCCCGGCTGGTAGATGCTCAAGACTCCATGGCATCAGACGACTCAAATAGCCCAACGGGCAACACGAACTGTCAGACAAGTCCAGATACGAATATCGTCACCCCACCCGATGTCTTTCAACTAGGTGCAGAAGAGACTCGTTCTCCAACGTCGGCAGTAGAGAGTAGTTATTCCGCTTCGATCGATTCTGCCTTTGCCTTTCCCGAAGACCTCGACGATACAGGCAGTTACGATTTTGGCTACGAGGCCCCGCAACCCTATGAAGACGGCTTCAAGCTGATGGCGGATCTGGGCTGTCAGAAGTCAGCTGACGTTCACCTCCCACTCTCTCTTGCGACTGTAGAACAGAGTTTCCAACAACCGGTAGAAGATTCCTTTTTCAGCGCCAGTTTCAATATATCTTGGAACGAGCAACCCTGGTCAACCGCATCTCCGCCCTTGCTGGACCTTCTACCGCCGCCTTACCACGCCACTCCCGATTGTCCAGAGGATACCGGCTTGCTAGATCACTACTCCAAAGTTATGCTACCGACAATGGGGTTCGTAGATGGCGTCGCAAACCCCTTCGAGCAACATATTCTTTCTCTTTCGCACAGAAGCTCCGCCGTCCGAAGTGCGATATACGCGTTGGCCAGCGCTCATCGTGAATATGCTGGTCTCGAGACTACGGAGGGATCTGCGTGTTTCCATGAAAGAGCGGTTGCTGGTCTTTCTGCGATCATTGAGGATGGCGACGGATTTGAAGAAGCTCTAGCGACAATAATTCTACTTATACAATACGATCTGGTAAGAGAAGACTTGTTGTCAACTTGTGCTTGACGCATCAACTTACTGGCAGCGTAGGTGTTACAACGGAGCTCGGATAAAGTGGTGTATAATCATCTCCAGGGCGCACGTCACATCATTGGTGCCATGCCATCCCCTAAGCCTGCAAGTGTGGCGTTCTTCGAACAGGTAAGCTGGGACTGTGGAGATTTTATGCGAAATATCTTTGACATGAGGCAGGTATTTCGCTACTTCGATGTGCTCAATGCCTTGACGAACGGCTCGTCCCCCGTCTTTGCAGCTCCCTCATGTCGAGCCTACTCGCCGAGTAGCCCGCCATCGCCCTTCGTATCTGGTGTAATCGACCCCGTATTAGGCATGGCCGATGATCTTTGGCCCACTCTGTATCGCCTTGCGGAGCTTATGGCGATGAAACGCGAGCTTCAGGCCGCCACAGCGACAGGGCAAACCTCCAAGTTCGCCGTCCTCCGTACCGAGTATCAGACGGCATATAAAGCAATCGAGGGAGCTCTGGAGTCCTGGAGTCCGACACTGCCACCAGGCTTCTCTCTCGTTAACCGCATCGTCGACGGCCCCGAAAGTGCATCAGAAGCGGAGCTTGCCAACATCCGGTGGATCACAAGCACGGCACTGGCATACAGACAAAGCGCCCTGGTCTTCCTATACAGTACCGTTTCGGAGTACCCTTCATCACATGGCCTAGTGCAGAAACACACGCAGGCCGCTCTGTGGCACTGTGCAGCGTCGGTATCTCACGGCGGGTCAGGACTCTCCATTTTGTGGCCTCTCTTCTTCTCTGCTTGTCATGCCATATGCAGCAGGGACCGAGGCCTGGTGCGTCAGGCATTCACGGCCTTTGGCAGCAAGAAGGGTGTGGTTGACACGGAAAAGCCGTGGGCTGTTGTCATGGACGTGTGGAGAAGGTTGGACATGCGAGCCTACGGCAAGGAGCAGGTGGGTTCTGAGGCCTGTCCAGACTTGTGGAGGCAAGTGGCGGCAAGCATGAAGTTTGGACTTGTGTTTGGTTGAATGGAAGTGACTTTCGTACAAGAGTCCGGTCCGGGGATTTGGGGACGGAGACGGAGACGGACAAGTCTGGGGAGACCCTTGCTCCTGGCCTTTTCCGGGACCCTTGTTTTGATATATGGTCGTTTAAGGGCAATACATGTTATGATAGATACCGTAGAAACTCGAGCAACTCGAACTTGCGCTAGCCCGTGCCAGCCCTGCTAGCGCTATGGCAGAATCGTAATACTGCCTAAAGTGGTTAAATGCGGCCGCCACCTATTTTTGGCGTAGGTTAACATTTCGATCGATCTGACCAATGAGAGCTCGCCGTCGAGGCCGGACCCACAATTGATATAATTCAATAATTATTTTGGCTTTCTCGTCGGTTTTGAGCTTTTCTCGTCGAATTGGCAAAAAGGGCAAAAGTGTCAATTGGAAGCAGTCGTACGTAAGCAACCGAGCCCCTGACTGTCCCCTGGCCCACTGCCTCCAACGGGCCCCTATTCATACGGCGGTTGGACTGTCGGGTCGACGAACTGCCCATTGATGCCATCACGGACTTCCTCTGCTGTGAAAATGTACTCTAACCCGTCGTTCAGAACAGCGAAGTCTGGAATCTCCTCTTGCAGCGTCTCCTGCTCAATGTGGGCTTCTACGTCGAAGAGCTCCCACCCAGTGTAATCGATGGCCTCGGCGGGCACGTCTTTGATCCGGATCTCGTCGACCTGGCTGCCATCGGGCCGAATAGATATTCCGCACTGCAGGAAGGCCTGGCTGACCATTGAGCCCTTCTCGTGGGCCAATTTAGCGGCTGCCGTCTCGACTGTTTTGGTGACCATTATTCTCTTCATACCCGTCTCCCACTTGAGCTCCTCCTGCTTATTCAGCGCTTTTTCTTCCTCGTCGAGTACGTAAGCGTCGGTTGCTTCTGAAAGCCACTGCTTGAAGGGCTTATTGACTGCGGTATCGAGAGGTTGGAGGAGGGAAGTGGTCCCTGGCGGTATGAGGCAGGGTGTGATGTGGTGCTGACGTAATAGCGCAAGGATGGAATCTGTCTTATGGAAGGAAGCGACATCCATTACCAATAGGTACTCGTCTCCCTTAGTCAGCGCTACCAATTCCTCTTCAATCCATCTTTTGAACAAGTACTCATTGTTGTAGGCAGTCTTGTTGAACTCAACTGTCACTCCTTCTGCGTATAATAGGCCCTCTTTTTTCCATAATTGACCCCCTTCCTCTGCGGGCTTGCCGTGGAATATTATTTTCGGTTTAATTCGTTGTATGCCGTCGGCGAAGATGTAGAGTATTAATGTGGCCTGCCGCTTGCCCCAACCGCTGCGGTCGCTCTTGCCAGCCACGGTTTTGGCCCCGACGTCGTCGTATGTGTAACCGTCTAGGTATTCGAAAGGAACTGGGGTCTCGTCGAGGTTGAGAATTCGCGAGTTAGGAAATCGACGGGCTGGACTTCCGAGTAAATCTCCGACGTTAGACCGCTTCACCTTAGCCAGGGCCATTTGATTAACTCGTCGGATAAAGGAAAGAAAGCTGTTGACAACTTTGAAGTACTCAGTGGGTAACTTCGTTGCCTGTTTGGTAAGTCGACGTCGGGTAATTCTCATACGATTCTGGAAGCCACGAAACCAACCGGGGGAAAAAATAAAAAGATGTTTGCTGTTCGGGTTCTGCTGGGCGAAAATCCGCTTAGCGGTCCTTTTGAACCAACTGGTACTAACGAGCTTTCCCTCACTTCGTCGCTGGCGGAAGGCGCCGTATAGCGCTGTCTCGAGCTCTGGCCACTGAGGGTGGTAGGCGTAGTTGGAGGACCGATTGACGATTGACTCGCGGTTCTGATACCAGGAGATAACCGTGCTTCGAGGGACTTTGAACCAATCTGCGGCTTCCTGGTATGTGGGACGTCTGTATATCCCTGGGAGCTCGGTCTCGCCCTGGCGCAGCCTCGGGGGGCAAATCGACTCTTCGTCGAGCTTCCTCACGCGGTGATGCTCTAAAAACATCAGGACGTTGACTTTGGTATCGTGGGTATAGTGGTGCTGGCGGCGCTTGATTGGGCCACTTCGCGGTGTATATTTCCGGTCTTTGATGGGGGTAGGAGCAGGCCCGCGGCGCTTAGCTGCTGGAGGTGTAATTGGCACTTTTGCCGTATTCGAATCCTTCTCGGCAAGGGCCCGTCGTGAGGGCATCGTGGGCACGTCGACGAGGCCCGTGGTGGAGGTGTAATTGGAGGTATAATTGACAGTATAATTGGTGGTCAAATCGGTGATGTAATCGGTGGAAGTGGGCAGTTGGGTAGGAGTAAAAAATGGAAAATAATCACTTACCGCCTTCCGTATACGGTTTAGTCGATTATATAATCGGATAAAACTGATCCCTCGAAAGGGCTTAGTGTGGGCCGCTAGCAGGGCTGGCACGGGCTAGCGCAAGTTCGAGTTGCTCGAGTTTCTACGGTACACTGGGCAAGACGTCGGGTTAAAGGGATACTACGCACACACAAAAAAAACAAAAAAAAAAAAAAAGAAACAAAAAAGAAGCAAAAAAAAAAGGAGTGGCATTCAGTAGCAGCTGAATATACCACAGTCGTTTCTTCGACGTGGACTCGGTTGCACACGCAGGAAAACGAGGTGAAATCGCATTACGAACTGTTCATCAGCGCTCTCTGCACTAGCCCTCATCTGGCGGAGCCCAACATCCACCTCGCCGAGCAAGCTAATGCAGCTCATGATTGCATCCGCTCGTCCACAGGACCAGCGACTCCTTCAGGTGAGTCGACGTGGCTAGCCAATGCTAAATATCACTGTCATGATTGTCCGCCAACCAACGTTGGAGAACAGGGAGCCGCAGGGTATATCTTTACCTCGGTGCAGGGTTCTTTTCAGCCTGATTGCCCCTCTGCAGATCCATGGGACCGGGGGCGGCACAGACGCTCGCATCTGATGAGACTGGAGAGACTACCAGCAGTTGCAGTAACAGGTGAGAATATAGGTATGCCTGAGCCTAAAAACTGTAAGACTCAGTAGGGTGCCATCTTCAACGCCGAGACGTTGCAGTAGAATGGGACGATGTATCTGCATCTGCGAGCGGTTACCGATCTGGGCCTGCGAGTCCTTTCGTCTGATTTTGGCGCACCCTCCATCACACAAAGCCATGCGTGCCGGCCACGCACTGTAACCCTAGAACGCGGTGCAAATACCGAAAGCGGTATTTAGCCTGGGAGTTTTCGATTTTGAAACCGAGATGCGTGACTACGAGGGCTCTGCTTGTTGGAGTTAAGGGTGAGGGGGAAGAGAGATGAGGGAAATCGGTCAAGTCAAATCTCTCACTCACCCTTCCTCGCTTCTTGGGTTTAAATTGCAATCGATGCAGAGTCTCTGGGTAGGGCTGAGCGCTTACGCGGTGCCTCGAGATTGAATCAACGCTCAGATGTGCGGACCATGTCATGAGGCATTGGATCAACTGTCAATCCGACCTGATGGGCTCATTTGCTCCGCGTCCTGTGAAAAGCAAATGATCCTCGGGAAGTCGCGCGCACACCGGCCGCCCATATCTGTCATATCTCAGCTCAGCATTAGACGGCACAAGTAGTCGGTGACACCAGGGCATGCGAACAGAAGTACCCAAGCCAACCAGCCGCGCCGGTCTAACCTCACAGAGCTCAAGTCGAGGCTGGACGCGCATTTGAGGCGTCATGTGATGGATGCATACTCGGGCTCGATTCGCGAGCAAGTGTGAGGGCCTGACCTACTGACCTGTGCTGGCTGGACTTCATGTTGTGCAAACGCCTGACAGACGGGCGGCCCAGGTGTGTGTGTTGCTTCTGCACCGCCCCACATGGCTGCCGGATCCCGGCCGTTGGTATCATTTCTCCAACTGTGCGAGGCTAACGGGCGGGGAAAGAGGGCATCCTGTTCTCCTGGTGTATTGGGGTTGTTCGATCCAGGATAGAGGGTTGGAATCGCGCTTCTACATGCACCATGGCACGTGGCGCAACTTGGACATTAAAGGACTGGAAGTATGGGGGTCCCGCTTGCTTAAGCAGAAGCACGATCTCTTCGGATATCTACTGGGCAGAAGATTTGCTCGCTCGTGGTTGAGGGACAAGAAGGCGAGCAAGCTTGTGGCGTTTCTCTCAATTGTGTGCCTCAACGTGCGCGGCCTGCTTAGTTCGACTTCCAGCGAGCGGGTTTGCGAGATGGTGATTTGATGAAGTCGGGGACTGTGCGGACTATTCTGTGGTTGGCTCGGCTCCGATTTCCTCTCATTAACACCAGCCACATTCCGGAGGAAGTGCCGGATGCTTTGCCGGGGCCGGTGGGGCCGGTGTCGGGACCGGGCCGGAAACTAGATCAGCTTCCCGCAATATTCGAAAATCGACGTGTCAGCTCTAGGGTCGTTGCTCTGTATTCATTTAGGACCATGGGGCCTCAGTCGATGGCAACTTCAGCTCTACTCATTGCTCTTTATTCAAAATCCTAAGTCTCTATCGTCCAAAAACTAACTCGGGAGTAGGAACTCATGCACTTGGAATATGGCATGCTCCGAAAGCTTTGGTCACGCCATTATTTCAACGGCCTTTATTTCATATTTGTCTGTAAAATTATCCTTTGCCGGCTATTTCGGTGCTGAAAGCAATTATTTCCAAGACGAAGTCTGGGTTTCCAACCATGGCAACATGACATCCACAACGCCCTGCAAGTTCTCAGGGAACAGCGCGTGAGAAGCATCTTCAACAAAGACAACCGTGGACCGACTTCCAACCAGTCCAGTCGTGTAGTTCCATTGGTCCTCTCTCCTCCACGGATCCAATGTTGCGATGACGTCCAAGATCTGCGTATTGTTGCTGCCGATCGTTGTGCTCGTGGGAGCCCCAGTTACGGAGCCCATTGCCTCAAGGTACCAACCAGTCAACCATAGGGAGGCATTATGTCCTGGAGCAAAGTAGCCCAATTCTAAAGCAACGAGCCGCTCTTCTGCCGAGTACGTATAGTTACTCGCAATGTTTGCCGTAGCTGCGATCGTGGCATTGGTGTTGATGCCGGTGTTGATGCACGCCAAGACGATCGAAAGCACCTTTTCCGGGTAGGCGGCAGCCATGTTCTTTGCCATGCGCTGGCCGGCGGCGTGACCGAGTACTATAGCCTTTCCGTTGCCAAACGTATCAATGACTGAGACGAGGTCGGCGCCCACCTCGGCCCAAGTAGTGTCAATAGGGCCGGTAGATTCACCCATGCCTCGGGGCTGAGGACGCAACACGCGGTAGCCCGCGTCGGCGAGGGCGGTCGAGAACTCGTGGAAATCATCGAGGCTATCCCGGGCGAAAGACGGCCAGACGAGTAGTGACGGGCCGTCTCCCTCGACAAGGACTTGGATCGTGTTGTTCGACGACCCGGTGAGGTATTTGGTCGTATACTCAGCAGACGCAAAGCCCAGGAGAGCGGCGGAGACCAGAAGGTTATCGAGATACATCGTGATAAAGACTCTTCTTTCTTCTGGGTAAGCTGGTAAGATTCGACTTTGAAAACGAATGACAGAATCTATGCCAAATGTGCGGCTGTGGTCAAGAGAGTGTTGAGTGATTGATCTGAGTTGTGCTTCCTGTAGCAGACGATCAGAGGGACGATATATACCGAGACGGAACCCACAGTGCTGGCTCCCACTTCACCGGGAGTCGACCATGGGAGAAAAGCTTCAGTCGGGGCCCCTGAGCTTTCGTTAAAATATTATCCGTTCTGCGTCGCAAATCCCACAGATTAGAGTTTACAAACTTCTTGGCGTCTATCCATGATGGCGGTACAACCGATCTGTGCAACGTCGGCATTGCGACTACGGTCTACCTAGTCAAAAAGACCAGGAAAACGACGGCCTCCTTAATATCACATTGATCATATCCTCCCGGGCATGATAGTATTGCACATCCAATGTAGTGAAATGTAATTGTGAACACTTCGACGTCGAGCATGAACAGTCATGGTTTCGATAACTTCGCCAAGACATGGACCTTCCTACAGAATCATTGAACTCAGTCTGACGCAGCTGAATTCAATACTTCAAAGACCATTATGAGCAACAGTAGCAAGGGCCGAAGCTGAAAATTCCCATCAATACCTGGACAAACGCGTTGCAAAGACGCCTAAAGCAACGAGTTTAGTTGCAATCAAGGGGACTAAACCGATGGATCATTCAAGATCCCGTCTTATGAACGTCCATTAAAAGGTCAGCAACTCGTTCATCCCAGCACGGCATTTTCTCTGACCAAGAAAACTCCGACCGCCAAGACTTCAGCAACTTGCTTTGCCCCCCTTTCCGTCCAGTTAATCCCCCACATACCGGATGAAAATTGATTGAGTTTCCCTATGCGTTAATTTCAAGTATGGCCATTGCGGCGGGCGGCCGGTAGGACACGCCATCCCCCGAAAGTTTAAACCACAAATACACGTATTCGCCCGTAGCTCCCGGACACACGACTCGTGTTCTCAGAAATCAGAATATAAATTACGGCTTGTATGATACGACACTCCAATGAGTGATTTACAATTAGAATAGGGTGACGAGGACTTGAAAGTCGATGACAAAAGAAGACTTCGCAAGCTTCGAGACTTGACGTGATTTCTGTTGATAACATCTGGACTGTTGGACATGTTCTCGTTATCAACTTGAATGAATCTACTCGTGAAGGCCTGAGACTAATAGTACGGTCTTTGGATTTGACTGGCTGGTGTTCACACGGAGTACAGACACCCACTATTAATTCTCATTGCTACATGTAAGGGACTGGAGTCAGTGCTCTTGGAAAGCAATTCGATTCAATTTGATTTGGTCTCAATTGTCGTTTAAAACACACGTGAACAGGCTACTACGGAAAGGATTAGTGAAACAGGTATGGCGCACAAAGCAATGTGGCCTGAGTCAAAGAGAATTGGGAAACTATTTGTTCTCTTCTCCAAACGAAGAGGGTCGAGATGGTTAAAACTCCAAACGACAAGTTGCGGGCGAACAATGAGATGTTGAGAAGTCACACATGAGCAGGCTCATGCAATTGATATTTCATAGTTGTCAAGTGGCTACAGATTTAGTCCAAAATTGAGAGCTACTTCTGTCTCAATTACACCTAGTTCTTTACCAGATAGGTACAGAGAAGTTCGTCTTTGGACTCCAGTCTCGTGTAGTGGTCGTGAAACACATAATTATAGGAAAGGTAAAATTTCGGAGAGGATGACAAAATCCCAAACCCTCAACCAGGCTTTGGTACAAGTTAACCTGTTAAAACTCAACATTGTCCTGGGTCTTTTCATACTTGCTGATCAAAATGTAGGGCTGTTAATACCGCTGCTCCTGCGCCCTGACACGGATACTTGGGGGGACAAGAAGAGAAAGGATAGCGAGCTCGATATCACAGTAATATGTTGCACCGGAGTTGATCTTACTTTACATGAAGGGGCTATACTGAGAGTTTGATTCCAACACAAGCAATTTGGGTATAACGAGTCGTGAATAGGAGCACGTATTCAAGAGGACATACCGAAGCAGGACTATCTCCAGGTTTATCCTTTGATCGAAGACTCCTACGAGAGCATCTTATCATCAAGTCTAGACTTCATCGCTTGTGGTTCTTCGACGAGACCACATGCAGGAAGCCGAAATCAGGATATGTCAATTTTATGCAATCAACATGCGGTCTTAAGAAGGAGATGTAACTTGGAAGGTCTAATTTCTAAGACATCGTACTCAAACGAAAAGAATTTTCTATGTTGACCAAAACGCTCGAATTCATATGCCCAGAGATGCTTGCTCAGTTGGATGAAGAAAACAGATACTTGTTCTGGATAGGCGGCCATCTATCAGGAAGTCAGTTGACCCGAAAACCCTCCTGGTGCGGCCCGAAGCCATTGGCAGCTTTCAGAGAATCAAAGGTCTACTCGGCGTTAGGAACGGAGGCCGGTGCCGTAACACCTTCTTCATCTCTCTTGGTGACGCCCTCCTTCTTTTTGTCTCGCTTGTACAAAAAAGCCACCGTCGCAGTGATCAACGCCTGGGCGCCGAACGCGACGGTCGAGAAGATGAAGCCCTTTTTAAACTTGGGTGAATCAACTTGAGGGTACGTCAGGATAGGCACCCAGGCATTGAAGGCATATCCTAGCGAGTTCATGATTCCTATGACAATGGCACGTTCCTCGGCATCGGCGCCGCAGATCTCGTTGGTCCAACTCATACTGAGTGGTCCGTACGGTACAGAGGCACGCTGAAGGAGGAACGCGAACCACTTAAGCCCGTCTGGAACATTCCAGATGGCGAGAATCAAAGCGGCGAAGCCGCCGAGGAAAGTCGATATAGACATGACGCTGGCCCGATGGCGGATTGCGTCGGAGAGGATGGCGAATGATACCGTAAGTACTAATTGGATGGCTGAAGCCGCCGTTGGGATGATGTTCTGAAAAGCTGTTTTAGCTACCTTGGAAGGCGCAATGATTTTTCTCGACGGTATAAGGTGAACTTACAATCTTTTCCACGGACTCGCCCTTGGATTTCAGCCAGAGGGAGAAGGGGTTTACGCTGCTGGAAGGCCCAATGTTGATGAAGATGATGTACAAAATGGTCAGGAAGTAGACATGCCAGCGACCGAAAATGCGCTTGAAGGCAGAACGGCCTAACTTGGTTCGCGGAGCACGGCCGACGCTCTCCATCCTCTTGCGAGCCAGTTCGCGGTCCTAAATCATTGTAAGCAACTGCTCCAATATTTGAGGAGTGAGTTGACTTCACTCACATCTTCAGTCAAATAGAACGCTCGTGTGTTTTCCGGAAGATCGGGCAGAAAGAAGAACCCAGCAATGCAAATTGGCAAACTGATAATTCCATCCATGATCTGTAAGTTGTGGTCGAGTCAGCAAGCAGTCTCGCAGGAGTCGTCTCCACCAAAGCACGCCATATGGGATCGAGGGGGTGCTTACAAATAGCCACTTCCAACCTGCCAAACCATGAACGCCGTTGAGGCCCTTGTAGACGCCAGCTTGCAAATAGCCCGAGAACATGCTCGCCGCAGCTGAAGAAGCGTGGAAGATGCAGGCTCGCTTCCCGAGCTCGGAAGGCTTATACCAGGAGCCAAGGATCGTGTGAGCGGCCGGGTAAAAGATGGACTCTGCCAAACCCACGAAGAAGCGAATGGCAATAACGTGGTTGGAAGTCTTTGCAGCCGCCAGACAGAAAGTCAAGACGGTCCAGAGGAGCTCGCACGAGGGCACCCAGATGGACGGGCGGACTTTGGTGAGGACGATTTGCGAGGGGATCTGGCCTACGACGTAGCCGACGGTCCATGCCGTGTCAATGAGATTGATCTCGTTTCCGTTCATTGCGAGGTCCTCCTTCATTCCGCTGACAAAGGCGTTGCTGATGTTTGTCTGGTCGAGGTTTTTGATAAAGTAGCCGAAACTCAGCATCGTAATCAAGAAGATGTCGAGCTTCTGGATGAAAACGCGCTCCTCATGCGTCCGGTCTGGCTCGTAATCCCAGAAGTAAGACCACCATGGTGCTTTCTTCTTCTCGAGCACAGCAGAGTTTCGTCCGTCTGAAGAGGACTCGTCCACCGTTACTCCCTTGGGAGACGCGGACGCGTATTCCTGCTCTGTCCCCATGCCGAGCAGAGGTGAGAGCTCTAGTGAACCCGTAGAGTTAATAACTTACAACCTGAAAACAGGGGAGGGAGGAGTTAAGCAGCCACAGCTTTTTAAACCACAATCTTTTGCGACTTTGGGGGGATCCCGTACCTGATTTATGTATCTCGCTTCCTGATAAACTGACCATCGCGCTACGCTAAGGGAGGTTTCAAGTTGGCCACAATCTCACGGATACTGGAGAACTGCCCAGATAACACTCCGGGACTCGTGTGGGTTACAACGGGGTCCGATGCTTGATGATGTGCTGCGAAGCGCTGATGATTCGCTACCCCTTGGCGTGGGGTGTGTCGCCATCGCGGGGTCCAGTGTCGTGATCCGGCCGTCGCTGCCTCAAAAGCGCTTTCAACGCCGTCCATCTTCTCCGCGTGAGGTCTCTTAGCAGCGGAGTCTTGCCGGCTAGACTCTTCTTATTGCTAGGGAGATAATGTAAGTGTCAATCTCATTAGTTATTCGATGCCGGAGGGCCCTGCCGACACGGAATATTGTTCGCGGCAGTGAGGTACTGGTGCCGGGTAGCTCCGTTCGACATTGCCGCATTGAAACATCAATGACAGGGAGAGTTGAATGGCAAGAAGAATATTTTATGCTAACCTGAATCCTCGCACTTGCGGCACATAAGTACTCTCGGATGACCGATCGGCACCGGTGGATGTTTCACGTGCCGGTCGCCGGTTTTGTCCCACAATACCCGGCCCCCGTATTCCGGATTTCGTGCGCCCCATCATTGGCTCCCGACCCAGGGACGATGCATGCACTCGGTACCCCTCCCCGACACGGTATCGGCCCGCTGTTGAGATACGTTCACGTGGGGTTTCGAGCCCGATTGTCGGGACTGGGTTCTCAGAAGACATCGGACGAAGTTCTAGTTGGTCTTCACAAATGCCTTGACTTGGAAGTCGATTTGCTTGCAGTAAGCAATTTCACATCTTAGAACGACCACCATAATACCTGTAGGCCACATAAAGAAGCAGCCGAGGAACGTCGTAATGTTTTCTTTCACTGTTACTCAAGTTTCAAGGGCATCCAGCTGCTCATTGCGTTATGTGCTACGAGAAGGCTTTCGCTCTAATGGTCTTCACCAACAGACCAAACGGGCACTGCACTGAGTTGGGAAGATGCAATGCTAGAAAGCCGATGAGAGTTTATGGATGCCAAAAGACAAAGGTTTATGCGCAATACTGAATCAGACAGGTTTAAGCTTTGCAGCCAAGAATACAAGCCTCAAGACCTCTGTACTAGGGCATGCAGCACTAATTTCAAGGAAAAAGCAGCCCTTGCGCCACGGGGCATCGCAATGCCAAGCCTTTGAGCCAACTACCGACGTTCAGATCGCGAAGTGTTGTCACCGGCGAAGATTCACAGATTCATTGTGCCCAAGACCTTCCTTGCCTGTAGTGTGTAATCCTCGCTTTGAAGAATTTCCGCCGACCGGTCACGCTTCCGATCTACGGCGGCCGCCATGCTTAGCACAATGATTCGAAACCTGGATATCAATAGTACCAACCCCATCCTCAATTTGTCACAATGTCAGCTTACCATCGTCACAAAGTCAACGCAGAGTCCAGACTATCGGATCGCAAGGCACAAGGAACACTCGCGCCGCAATACCGCATGGTGCTAATACAAGCAGCCCCCAAATCGACCAGCAGCCTTCCCGCGCTGTGGAATCCTAGTCTCCCAGAAACTCTTCGAAATAGAGGACGACGTCCCACCCCCATCTCTCAACATCTCACCTCTTCTCCATCTTCTCGGGGACCCAAGCGTCAGGCCCTTGGCCCAGAGAGCTCAATGCATGAGTCTAAAGCTCGTAGGGAACTAACTGCTTCGGGTTTTCTCTCTCTATATCCCTGCCGGCATGGGCTTAGCTCTGTCCGATGCGCAGGCTACAGCCACCTCACTTAAAAAGAGCGACCGTCTTCCCTCCACAGCCCGGCTCCGCCATTTTCCAGGCACCACGCTACCGAAAAAACACTTCCCGTGATTGCAACCTTGAATTTGGACCAAACGCTCAGGCGTAAGCGGCATGTGGGTATGGAGCGGCCGCCTCTGCTGTGGGAACGGGACTTTGGTATATTCCAACCAACAGCTTTAGAAAATGGACTGGGGCTTCTGCATTAAGCTATCCTTCTTTCTCGCTAGTGAGATGACGAGGTCCTGGGGCTAGTTGTCTCTCGATCACCAAAGTCCCAAAGACATTGACATAGCTGAGGCTTTCTTGGATTTTGTTTCGAGATGTCTTCACGCTCTGTAGTATCCGCATTGCCGTGACCCTTGCAAGGAAGAGAGAAAAACAAGTTGCCTGGAGGATCAGCATCCACAAACGATGTAAGTTCCATTCGCAGTTTGACGCGTGCCTGCTCAACCTCTTTCGATGTCTGATATATAAGTCGTGATGTCCGTGCCTTTTGAAGATGAACGGTCGCCAGTCCAGTCCCCACAGCAGCGCATCTCTCATTGCCTTTCCACACCTTTCTAACCGTAATTACACCATCAATTGATCTCACATCACCAAACACCATCATGAGATTCGAGACAGTCTCCGGGGCGGTCGCCCTTCTCGCCATGAGCCACTCCGCGGCCGCCGATCCGGTGAACATCAAGCTTCATAGCCGCCGTGCAAACCTCTCCAAAGCAAAGACTCTCAGCAAGCGCGCGTCCGCCGGCTCAGTCTCCCTGACCAACTGGTTCGAGAACTTTGACCTCCAATGGATCGGTGAAGTCGACGTCGGCACCCCGCCCCAGAAGCAGTAAGTATTTGGCCCCATCAAAAGCTGTCCCTGTGATAGTATCATGAGCAACGGGACTAACACACGCACTCGCTAGCATCGTCACCTTCGACACCGGCTCAACAGACCTAATCCTCCCCTCAACAGCCTGCACAAACTGCCTCGTTGCCAAAGAATTCAACGCTTCCTCCTCCACAACCTTCTCCCCCACCCCCGGCAACAACGTCACAACCGCCTTCGGCACAGGCGGAAAATCAGTCCCCTACGCCGTCCCGCAAGCCGCCTCCGGCACCGTCGTGACCGACACCGTCACCATCGCCAACCTCACCGTTGCGAACCAAACCTGGCTCCTCTGCGACACCTACGCCGAGGCCTTTAACGAGATGCCCAACATTGACGGCATCTTCGGCCTCGGCCCCCCCGGATTCTCCCACTTCTCCGCCGAGACGAACACCTCCTTCTCAACCTGGTTCTGGACCCTCGCGCAGAACGGCGGCGTCCCCGAGCCCCTCTTCTCCTTCTTCCTCAACTCGGGCGAGGGCAGCGCGCCGGGCGAGCTCACCCTCGGCGGCGTGAACAAGGACCGCTACGAGGGCGAGATTGCAAACGTCGACTTCAACATGACGGTCTCCTACCTCGGCGGAAGCTGGTTCATCGACCAGCCCGCCTTCTACATCAACGGCAAGACCGTCGCCAACTCCAACGCCTCGGGCGCCGCGTTCCCCGTCGGCGTGTCCAACGTCGATACCGGCACTGCATTCCTCCAGACACCGGATTACCAGACCGCCAAGGACATTTACGCCGCCATCAGCTCCGAAATCACGCAAATCGACGAGCTCGGTGTCTGGGGTGCCCCCTGTGACGTGGTCGAGAAGCTGGACCCGGAGCTGACCTTCACCCTCGGCGTCGGCGACAACCTGGTCAACATGACTGTTCCCAAGGGCGCGTTCAACTTGGGCGAGTATCCCGGTCACAGCGGCGTTTGCCAGACCATCTTCCTGAACCCCGTGCAGCCCATTAGCGAGCTTGCGTCTATTTGGGTTCTGGGTAGCCCGCTGTTGAAGGGATACTACACCGTGTGGAACGGGACCAACCCTGAGCAGCTCACATTCGGTGTTGCCAGTCTGAAGGCGAACGCTACTGCTACGAATGGCACTTCGAGCCCGACTGCTACGCCGACTGCCGTCAATGGTGGAAGCGTCACTGGCCCGGCTGGCGTTCTTGCAGCGGTTGCTTTGACGATGTTTGCTTTGAGTTTCTAGATGGATTTCCGTCTTTGAATATGTAGACAGATGTAATGTGTACATGTATATATGATGGTTGTGAGATAGAATACCTTAGATAATGTACCTCAAGGGTCATCCTCTTCGATGAAATCAGCTGCCCTTTCCGCTACCGCGTAGACTAGAGACTGGATGTTGGCTCTCGGAATCAAGGGAAAGATGCTGGCATCGACCACTCGCAACCCCTTCACCCCGTATACCCTGAACCTCTCGTCGACTACACCACCTTTGGACCTAGGCAGCATGGCGCAGGTACCACAGGGATGGTATTCGCTCTGCATACTATTCTTGATCCAATTCTCCACGTTCTCGGCAGTGAGTTCGTGGTATCCGGGCTGGAACACGTTCCCTCCGCCCTGAAGCAGGTCGCTCAACGGTTGCGTCCGCGCGACGGTCTGCAGATGAAGCGCAATAGCTTTCAAGAGCTGAATGTCGAGCGGATGGGACAGGTAGCGGGGATCGATGAGGGGATGGACGGCGACGTCGGCGGACTGTATGTGGATTGCGCCTCGTGAGAAGGGGTGCTCTAGGACGCCTAGGATGGAGAGGAAGCTGCCCGGTGATCCCGCAGAGAATAGCTTGGTCGTATCAGCGGAGTACTGGGGCGAGATACCGCCCTCTATTGTAAGCTCTTGCGCGACGGTTTCGGATTTGAGGTCTCGAAAGGTGATGCCGTGTTGCTCGGCCAAGCCGGGAAGGTTGGTCTTAGGAGAGGACAGAGACAGGTCCAGGGTGGAGGCGATCTGCTTCAAGGACAAGAGCGCGGAGCTGGCGCCGGCAGAGGAGAGACGGCCGGTCTTGTTCGAAAGATAAAGATCGAGCTGTTCTCGGAAGTAAGTCGCGTTGGCATAGTCCTCGTTAGTGGGTACGCCGGGCTTTACCGCAAAACTGGGCAATAATCAGTCATTGCCTTTGACTATGATGGGTGCGGGTAGGTGAGAGAGGAGAC